AATGTCCCTTCTTCAGTCCCCACCAAGTCCCACTCTGCCTACGGCAGTGCTTGCCAACACTACCACTAAGTCAGGGCCTGAAAGCCTAACCACTAAATCCCATTGACATCTGGGACTTCCTCACCACGTGACCATACCTTTGGTCACTACACAAGAGGACTGCTCTTCTTCCTTTCCACAGTCTAAGACTTTGGGACAACATTTCGAAACACCATGGCTCTACATGAGCCTCGTGGTTACTCTCCCCACCTTCTGCCTTTGGGTGCCCTAGCCATATGGCTAGAGCAAGGTTCTGATGAGCCATGCTAGTTATCCAAGTAGGTAGTGCCACCCACATTTGGATTGAGAGCATTGACCATTAGATCTCCTGGAGAAATTAGAGCTGGCTCTTGAACACTTCACCAAGTTACCCCACTTATTCATCTATTTATTCTAGCCTTGGACTCCTCAATGGTTATATAATCACCTACTACATAAGTATAACCGTCCTTGGTCACAATGGCCTTTCCTGGCCAAATTAGCTCCACTGAAGTCCTCCTTCTACTATACTTTTGGAGCTCACCAAACCCCTTAGGGTCTGGGAGATGATCATTTTGGGCTTTCACCTTTAAACTCAGACTCAGACTCAGATTCAAACTCGGACTTGGACTTGGACTTGGTCTCGAATTCGGTTTCGGTCTCGATCTCGATCTTGGCCTTGACCTTGGAATTGACCTTGGATCTAGTCTCGGTCTCCATCTCGGACTTAACCTCAAACTCCATCTAAGTTCCATCTTAAACTCAACCTCAAACTCCATCTCAGGTCCATCTCAAACTCCATCTTGAGTCTATCTTAAGTCTATATCAAACTCCATTTTGGATTCCTTCTCGAAGTCCATCTCAGACTTTTTTTTGGACTCCTGCTCGAACTTCTTTTTGAACTCATTCCTAACACTTCCATGTGTCCTAACACTTCCATGTGTCCTAACACTTGCTATGTATTAGTCCTTTTTATGTCCCTTTTTAGAGACTCATTCACCAATACATGCCTCAAACTATAGAGGAAGGGAAGTTTCATCAACACTAATCTTAGTCTTCATCAAATGAAGACTAATTTTACAAAATAGGAGCAAAATCTATACATGAAATCTAGATGGAGGACTAGCATACATTTTCCAGGCCAATAAAAGCCAAAACTCACATTCTTACACTGGAAAAAATAAAACAAAAAAATAAAATGTGAACATGTCACAGGCTCACCAATACATGCCTTGAACTATAGAGGAAGGGAAGTTTCATCAACACTAATCTAGCAAGAAATGAAATCTAGACAAAGGACTAGCATACATTTTCCAGGCCAATAAAAGCCAAAACTCACATTATTACACTGGAAAAAATAAAAAAATAAAATAAAATGAAGACTAATTTTGCAAAATAGGAGCACAACCTATACATGAAATCTATGAAAAATTTGAGATAAGTACTTTGATTTTCTTTTAGATTCATGCTTCACTTCTACTGCTACTTATTGAACACAACTTCCTCCCTACCAAGTATGCTTCGGCTTTGCGAAGTATTAAGAGGTATATGTCACCAGTTGCTTCTAACTATTGACACTAGCACACATATTTATACTCATAACAACCTTGAAGATGCTAATGAAGAAACTAATCTAAACTTTGAAGATGCTAATGCAAAAATTACTTCAGATTTTGATGATGCTAATACAAACATAGCACATGCTAATGAAGCTCATACAAATATAGACCTTGAAAATGCTAATGAAACTAATACAAATGCAGTAATCATCAAATTATACTATTTATAAACTAGCACATCAAAAGAATTATAATAACCATACAGCATATATGTTTAATATTGAAAATATATCATCCATATGTGTTGTTTATGGTGCAGTACATTTTGAAAATGAGTCAAGCTCAATGTGCTCCCAGAATGGAAAAGTTTCAATTGCTTGAGCATTAACACTAATAGAGAAAATTGTCAGGTTTTCCCATTGTGCTGAGCTAGTGAGCCTCTAACTGGAATGATATCGAGAGAACATATTTCAAGGCCAGCACAAGTGAGGAGATTTACATGCAAATGCATATAGAAAAGATTTCAATTGTTTATTGTCATTAGCTTGAAAGTTTTAGCAACTTATATTGGCTGATCTCCAAATGATTTCACTTCTATCAATCCTTGATAATCTCAATTAACATACAAAATTTTACATAAATATCTAGAAATTTAATTAGATATTTAAGATGGACCTAGCAAAGTTCAAAGATACTTTCTATGGCGTGCAATTCATAAGTAAGCTAAAAGCAAGTTACAAACAAAGACAAACAAATTGAAACGATTTTAAAAAGAGTTGAAACGAATTCAAGAATTCAAACGAAATCAAACGACATCAAATGAAAACAAACTAATTACAGCCAGAGCTAATGCCGCCTGAGTAGCAACGTTGATCGTCCCTGGCTCCTCCTCGTTGATGTTCTTGACGAGCTTGTTTAGAGGTCTCGTTGCCTTTTGGACGAGAGGTATCCAGCAGCTCCTTCCTTGCCCATGTCTTGTTCGCAACTAGAGCGAGCAAGCAGCCAGTACGTGCTTCTTTGAAGATAACTCCCTGACAAGCAGGGCCGTGAGCTGGCTCAACGTATCAGTGTCCTGTCGTCTCACAAGCTTAGTTATCTCTTGTCCTTCCGGGCTAGCGTTCTTGAGAAGCCACAAAAGTGCTGGCTCCACTTGGATATCTTTCACTGTGAAAACAAAGGTTGCAAGGAAAACTTTTCGTGATCTGGCATAAAACCAAATGGTATCACACCTCTTGAGCACCTGGCACTTCACGTACATGTGCATTTCCCACGTAGACATTGCAAAGGATAGGATCTGTTCTCATCCCAGTCTCGGCTTGACGATGAACCTCCATTCCTCGTTGCAGCGAAAAAAACACTGAGTACTTCACCTCGGCCTTGCCATTCTCTCTCACTGAGTACTTCACCAGAAACTTCTATCTGAATCGTATGACTCTCCGTCACTGCTCTGCGCTCAACTGTGCCATAAAGCTGATTATCCCGCCAGCATTTGCCCCATTCATGGCTTATTCACAACCCCCCAAAGATGCGAGTGAATATTCTAGAACCCTGCTCAAAGTATTTCCGAGCCAATCACGAGCTGCCACGTGTTTTTTTGTTTTTGTTGTAATTTGTTTTAATTCATTTGTCTTTATTGGATTTCGTTTTATTTAGTTTGAATTCTTTTGAATTTGTTTCAATTTTTTTGTCTTCCTTTGTAACTCGCTTTTAGCTTGCTTTACAAATTGCACACCATAAATTTCATTTCCTCGTAATCTTATAAAGTTCATTATCCTAATGAAGCATCTTTGAATATTTTTTTCTATTTAGTCCAGAGTAACTAGATTCTTTGCTAGTAGAAATATATATACATATATAAATACATTGAGACATACATATGACTAGTTAAAAAGGATTTTTGTTTTATGACTATTTATCCTTTTTTTTTAGAAGTCACAATGAAAAATTTTAACTTGATTATGACATTTAGTTTTTTCTTAAATCCGGGTGGGAGAATATTTTTTAGGATCTTTATTGCACTCAGGATGCCCAAATTTGAAAATCACTTTCTTAATCCTGCCTAACTGCATTCTGACCTTCAAAATAACACCCACACTACTATCCAAGAAAAATGTTTACATCCACTCACTTTGCTGAGGATCAAATATGCTCAAATCTAGAGCTACTTTGCTGCTGGGTGGAGAAAGGAGCATCTCCATCCCCTCAGTCAAAAGGCAAGGATCAAGCACATTGTCCAGTAAGCATCTTCACAAAAGCCATTCAAATTAAAGATAGAAAAGTCCTTTTAGTTACAGATTTGGTTGCCACCTCAGCACAATCTATCAGAGCGAACAATACTAAAAAGGTGGCATACAACCGAGCAAATCATCGCAGAAGTCCAGCCCGCATAAGGCGATGTTAACGTGGGGGGAAATTACTTGTATGGCGTGAGGGACTGGTGAATGCCTAGAAGCCCTAGAATTGAGAAACCCTAGAAATGGGGACTGCCCGAAATTCCGGGGAAAAAAAATAGAAAAGAATAACGCAACACGTAAGAACTTCTGAGGTATGCATGCGATGATGGACGTGTCTGTTCCAGCTCCCAAGTGCAGAGGAAAGAAAAACACAACCCAGAAGAACTTCTAAAGGTATGCATTTTTCTCAGAGTAAATTCATGATCAAAATACAAGCACAACATCCTTCACCTTGGCGATTATTATAGATTGTGCTCCATATCAGGAGCAAGCACCCCTACATCCAGTGCAATTTGCTGGTAAGTTGCAGTCGCTATAGCAGACTCTATCCCTGGTCACGCCATTACACACAACAGAAGTGTATGTGCACACTTGTGGACAGACTGCAAAAACAACAACCAATAGCAGTGATTGAGAGGATGAATCCAGAGAGAGATTTACATTGCTTGAGTGTTCTAAACGCTACCGCCTGCTCAGGCAACATACCTGAAACCATCCACAGAAAGCTGTCAATGAAACGGGAAAAGAAAAGATTCATCAACAATAACTACCCTGAGAAACAGTGAGGAGCAGCAAGATGATCAGGCCTGTTGCTTCCATTTCTTACACCACATTGCCCCTTGTAACCCCAGTGAGACTTTATACATGCTCAGTCAAATAGAACTCAAGCTGATGATATCAAATAGAACTTAAACTCTTGCACAAAAAATCCTGCTAACAACCAAACCAAGCTTGTCAAAGTTACAAAAGATTGACTGCTCATTTGTACATTAGTCGCTTGACTATTTCTTTCCTTCGCAATTCAAGCATTAGGAGATTTAAAAAAGAATTCAGAAACTATACAAAGCTTTGCTGATCCAAGCTGGTTCCTTCCTCTATAAGAAAAAGAAAGCTCAAAAAAAAAAAAAAAAAAAAACTAAAGAAACACTAGAATTTCACCTGGAATACATTTGAAAATATTTAGAACGTATCAATCCTTATTAGGGCTTGCTCGAGCGCGGAGTGGGATTTCCATGGTGGTGACGACGCCGAAGCACTCGGCCATGGGATGCGCGTCCACGCCCGGCGCCAAGCTCCACTGGAATCGATGCAGCAGATTCGCGAGGGCGAGCTGGACAGTGATCAATCCCAGCGCCATGCCAGGGCAGCCGCGCCGTCCCGATCCAAACGGGAGGAGCTCGAAATTCTTGCCGTGGACGTCAATGCTGGATCCCAGGAACCGCTCCGGGAGGAAATCGTCGGGGGATTTCCACAGGGCAGGGTCTCGGCCGATGGCATAGACATTGACGAAGAGGCGCGTGCCCTTGGCGATGGCGAGGCCCGCGACGGTGGTGTCTTGGGTGGATTGGTGGGGGATGAGGAGCGGCGCTGGCGGATGGAGGCGGAAGGTCTCCTTGATCACTGCGTGGAGGTATGGTAGATCTTTTAGCTCGTGTTCTTGGATGATTTCCTGGCGGGCATTGCCGAATTTCGCGCGTAATTCTTCCTGTGCTTTCTCCAGGGCTCTGGGATTGTTTAGCAGCTCCGCCATTGCCCATTGGATCGTGGTAATGGAGGTGTCTGTTCCAGCTCCCAAGAGATTCTAGACGAGGAGAAAGAGTAAGAACACAACATGGAAGAACTTCCAAGGTATGGATTTTTTCTTTCTTTCTCCTTTTAGAGTACCTGGATGAGTGCCTTGATGTTTCTAGCTTGATTGTTTGGATCTGGAGAGTCTAGAGACAAGAGTGTGTCGACGAAATCTCCACCTCCATCGTGAGCTTGAGTTTGTTCTCTGCTTTGCCTCGCAAGGACGTGCTGATCGACCACTTTTTGCAGGAACTCGTCCTGGATCTTGTGCAGGGCTTTCATCTTGGCGACGCTCGAGTCGAACCACTTGAGAAACGGGATGTAGTCGCCGATGTGGAACTCCCCGAGAAGAATGGTTCCTTGCTCTTGCATATGGATGAAGTCTCTGGTGGCCGCGAGCTCCTCCGTCGTCTCTCCGGATCCAAAGTAAGCCTTGTTCATCACCATCCGGGTGATGACGTTGAACGTAAACTCCGTCAGCAGATCTAGCAGCACGAAAGGTTTGCTCGTCTCCGCAACTTTTGCGATCTTCGCTAACAATCTCTGTAGCTCTTCGAGCCTTGCCTGGTGCGACGAGGCGAGGCGACGGTCCGTCAGGAGCTCCACGACGCACAGCTTCCTCATGCTCCTCCAGTGCTCGCCGTATGGAGCAAAAACCATGTCCTTGGAGTCGTAGAGGATGTACTTCGTGGTGAGCAACGTCGGCCTCGATGCAAAGGTGAGATCCTGGTTTCTTAGAAACTCTCTCGCCATCTCGGGGCTTGACGCGATCACCACGGGAACCGAGCCAAGCCGGAGCTTGACGAGGGGGCCATACTTTCGAGCAATCGCGAGGAGAGAGTGGTGAGGGAGCTTTCCCAAGAGGTAAAGATGGCCGATGATCGGCAGTGGAGTGGGGAGTGATGGCGATTGCGATGCTACTCTCAGGTAGAACACGCTTGAGAAGACAACCAAGATCAAGAGAATTGCAAAACCAACTAAGAACTCCATGGTCTCCAACGAGGTGAGCGTTCTTCTCTATTAAAGTTCCATTGTGGTACTCACTCTTTGTGCCATAGAGTTTGTTCCTCCTGGTATAAGGGGCCTTGCGAATCTCATGGTATGCTTACTTGCGAATCTCATTCTATTCGTTATTCTTCAAGGAAATGCTCTTGATCATGGCTAAGCATCTATAACAATGATATAATAATGAGGAGTGGCAAACTTTCTGATCTACCCAATGGCAGCCGTCAGATAAGAAGTAACTGTTAAAGGGTTTAGAGAAGAAGGCGCTGTGACGTGGGTCACATGTAAAGGGTTGACCGGCATTAACATTTAACCTTTTGCAATGGAGACTTTATCATTTGGATATGATAATTCCCTCTAACTTCCTTTAACGAATTTGATAATTTCCTTTGAGGAAACACATTTGTGGAATATTTATTGTTTTGATATTATTCTAATTTGAGTTTCCAGTTTAACAAAATTATAACATTCAAAACAATGTTTACTAACTAGATATGATTCGAGTCATTAGATTAAAAGTGGACCCTAAAAGGGTTTCAGTTAGCTCCTCTTCTAGGGCGATCACTGGGATTCTGTAACTAAGGATTAGCACATTTTCTATATTCCCTTTCTATATTCCAAGCACTCACACTTTTATTTTTAATTTCAAGTATTAAAAATCTGAAAATTTTAAATTCCTCATTAAACTTAGAGGGCTTAAACAAATTTATCCTCTTTAAGCTTAACAATTGCAATTATATTTGAAAGGAACTGTGTGTATAATGAGTTATAAATATAATAATACAGTTATAGAATTCTAGAATATGTTTTTTTAATTTAATTGGCAAGTGGGGAAGTGGAAGAAATCCAGGATGTCTTGGCGTTGCTCACTGGCGTGCTCAGGCAAGACCAGCTCCTCTTCTCCGGCGATCACTGGGATTCTGTAACTCAAGGACTAGCACAATCTGCAAGGAGGACACTAACGTCTTGACTCCAATCTTCTTCCAGGGCAGTCGGGCAAAGGTTTATTAGATTTTGTAAACAGTCATCGCTCACTTGCTCGAGAAGCCCGCGATATACTCCTTGAGCTTCTCGACTTGCGGCAGCGCCACTTTGGCCGAGGGATGCTCGGACGCGGCCGTCAAGAGCTTGTGGAAACGCGGGCATTTCGCGGGCTTCAAGCCCATCGCTTGCTCAACTCCTGGGATCCACACCGCATAGGGTGCCAGCAGCACATCCAAGAACGACATGCTCGCGCCACCAAAGAAGGGGCCCTCTTCCTCACTGCCCAGCTCCGCCAGAGCTCCCTCGACAAGCAAACAGTTTTGGTTGAACTCCTCGTTCACGGCCGCGTCACCGTTACTCAAAAAGAATCGTATCAAGGAGTCGGAAAGCTGTGTGATCGATAAGCAAGAAGAGTATGAAACCCGTAGCAGCAGATTTCTAGTAAGAGAATCCATACCTTTTTGTCGATGAAATCGCTCCAGAAGCGGTGCTGTGCGCGAAGGAATGCGTCCTGAGGCAAGAGTGGGCTTGTTTCGGGCCAGACCTCGTCGATGTAGTGGATAATGATGGCCGATTCCAGGATGGGCTTGCCCTTGTGGATGAGAACCGGGATCTTCTTGTGAACTGGATTGGATTCGAGCAGGATCTTGCTCTTGTTGCCAAGGTCTTGGGGGAGATCTTCGTGCTCGATGCCTTTGAGCGCTAGTGCAAGCTTGACTCGCATGGAATAGGGGCTGGGCCAAGCGCTGAGCAGTGTCACCTCTTGATCGCGAGAAGCCATGGCTGGAAAATTGAGAAGGAAAATTGGAAATGCGAATGGAATGAGGTTTGATTGAATGACGCGTCGCGTTTTATAACATAAAGAGCGTGTTCAAGGTACCTACGTGAATTTCCGAGAAGGCAGAGGAGAAGGCTGAAGGTAACAGGCTTAAACTTCGATTGATTTTAACTGTGGTCCTTCCATGAGCCTGAAGCTTAGCCGATTCTTCACGGTGATCTTATCCAACAGCAAAGCTCAAGCCCTGCTGGGGGAAATTGTCTCATGGCACATCCAGAAATTCTTGGAACACTTTATTGGCCTTTGATTTTTGCTTGTTTTTTGCAGTAACTTGTGATCTCGAATACAAGAGCCTCCTGTTAAGAGTATCAGCCCAAAGTCATCAAATTAAACCCAGCATGATCCTGTTCTTGAGGAAAAAATACCCCAGTAATTATCTCACTATCTGTGAAAGTAGTTCTTGCTATTGGTCTCTTTTTTACCTCACAGTATGGAAGCAATCTGGATATTTGCCTATGCTCTTATTGAAATTCCTGACCTTTGTAAATGCTTGAGAATAATTGTGAGTGAGTTATTGTAAAGGTTAATAAAACTGTTAATTTTGTATGAAATAAAAATAATTAGAAGTATATGTTTTTAAAATCATTTTTAAAGTTTTTTTGTGAGGGCTAAGTGTATATACCATATATTAATATTAGCGTAGTGGGATTTTGATAGCCGTCGGATTGGTTTCACTTGCTTTTGTATATAAATTAAAGTTTTTAGGCTAATTGATATGCATATTTCCTGTATTCCCTTTCCATATTCCAAACACTCACATTGAGCACCTTTAATTGTCTCTGAGGAGTGTTTGGATTTGGGATTTTGGTTTAGATCTAACTTTTGCATTGTCTAAATTTAATTTTTTCCATTTCCTTTTTTTTGTTCTTTCCTTTAAAGATTTTGGTTTAGATCTAGCTTTTTGCATTATCTAGATCTACCATTTCCTTCTAGCTTTTTGTCATTTCTCTTTTTTTTATCTTTCTTTCTTGTTCGTCTTCATGGTAGATCAACAATCTCCTCCTTTGACTCTGGAGCAACAATTGATACAGTTGCTTAATGCTATGTGCTTGAAATTGAACAACCAAACTCAGTTGATGGCATCATTCACGGCACGTGGTACAACTCCTCCTGCTCTTGGTGCCAATCCTCGCGTTCGGCCAGAGTTCTTTCGCGGGAATCCTGGGGATGATGTGTTCCATTGGTTCGATCACTTCACGGTGATTGCCACATATTATTCTTGGGATGATACTCAACATTTGCGTGAGTTTCCCACGTGTCTCCAAGGGATGGTGTTGCAGTGGTACAATAGTTTGAGCGCAGCCACTCGTGGGGATTGGAGTTTTCTCCCAGACGTATTTAAATGTGCCTTCGGACATGCCGACAACTATGATGATGCCTTCCAACAATTGCATCGTCTTCGCCAAGGGCCATCTAAGTCGGTGATGCAATTTGGCGTTTGTTTCCGAAGTCTTTTGCTTCGTGCGGAGCCAAATATGTCGGAGCGGATCAAGCTAGGAATGTTGTGGCTAGCACTTCATCAAGATTTTGTCAGACTTGTGCATGCACTTGCTCCTGCCACCCTTGACGATGCTCTTCACTTGGCACAACATTATGAAACGTCACCTCTTCCACTTCTCGCTGCACGTCCTTCAGCTCCACTTGATGCTGTTGCTGCTCGAGTCCAAGGACAAGGACGAGGACATGGTCCTGGCCGTGATGTTCGCTACTAGGCATGTGATGAAATTGGTCATACTTATCGATTTTGTTAGCGTTGTCCAGATTGACAACCTCCATTTCCTAGGTGGAGACCTTTGTGAGACACAAAATCCCTAGGCCCCAAAGTGGAGCCGGAAGGGTGCCACGTGGTAGTGGCCGAAGCGAAAGCCAAACAAGTGTAACACATTTGGGCCAAAAGCTCCGACTTGAAAGGTTGAGAGCGGGAGTGGAACTCCTAGCGAAGTGCTCGAGGAATGAGCACGAAGCGAGCAATAAGCGCAGCTCCAAAAAGGGACCCAAAAGGACCAACACATGACACGTGGAAGTGTCTGAGATGGACCGGAGATGGACCCGAGTTGGAGTCCGAACTGGAGTCCGAACTGGAGTCCGAGAAGGACCCGAGGTGGAGTCCGAGGTGGAGTTCGAGTTGGAGTCCGAAGTGGAGTCCGAGTTGGAGTCCGAGTTGGAGTCCGGGATGGACCCGAGATGGAGTCCGAGATGGACCCGAGATGGAGTCCGAGATGGAGTCCGAGATGGACCCGAGATGGAGTCCGAGATGGAGTCCGAGATGGACCCGAGATGGAGTCCGAGATGGAGTCCGAGATGGACCCGAGACCGAGACCGAGACCGAGGCCGAAGCCGAGACCGAGACCGAGTCCAAGTCCGAAACCGGGACCGGGACCGAGTCCGAGTCTGAGTCCAAATACTAATACAGGCAGTTGGGTGGAAGCCCAAAGCGATTGTCCCCCAGGGGGGGGGGGGGGGGGGGCTGCCGGGGATTCCAAAAGTATAGTAGGGAGAGTGTGGGGGTTGGAGCCCAGTGGAGCCAGTTTGGCCAGGAAGGGCCAGTTTGGCCCAGGAAAGGCTAGTTTGGCCTAGGAAGGCCATACCCAGTGTTGGGTGATGAGCTGACCATTGGGAAGTCCAAGACTAGAGTGAACACGGACCGACAAGCTGGGTAGCTTGGTGAAGTGTTCAAGAGCCGGCTCTAGTTGCCCCGGGAGATCGACTGGCCGATGCTCCCAGTCCAAGTGTGGGTGGCACTACCTACTTGGATACCAGGCGTGGCTCAACGGAACCTCGCTCTAAGCCCATGGCTAGAGCACCCAAGGGCGGAAGGCAGGGAGAGTACCCAGGTGGCTCGCGTAAGGCCCCGGTATTCCGAAATGTTGTCCCAAAGGCCCAGACTGTGGAAAGGAAGAGGAGTAGTCCTCTGGGACAGTGACCAAGGACATAGTCGTGTGGTGAGGAAGTCCCAGAGGACCGTGGGACTTAGTGGTCGGGCCTGTGGGCCTCGATCCAGTGGCAATGTTGGCAAACACAGCCAAGGGCAGAAAGGGACTTAGTGGGGACTAACAGAGGGATATTGGGGAAGGCTATTCCCCTTGTCGGTGGGCATCCTAAGGATGCTAAGGAGTGGATATGAGATGACCACTCACAGATGGTTTGCCTAGTCTTGGAGAGCCAAGACTGTGATG